AAAAAAAAAAGAAAAAAAATATTTTTTCGTTTGTGATACATTACAAGATATAGCTAATAACTTTATTGTTGACGCGACTATAAAAAGTTGGTAATAAAAAAAAAAAAAAAAAAAATATATTACCGTTTGTGATACATTACAAGATATAGCTAATAACTTCATTGTTGACGCGATTATAAAAATCAGTAATAAAAAAAAATAAAAAAAAAAAATAATCTCTTTCATCATTTGTGATACATTACAAGATATAGTTTTCGTAGAAAAAAAAGATAGAGAATTGCATTAGTAAATAAAATAAGATATCCTACTGAAAGGCTTACAACGCCTTTTCTTCGTTCCTATACATTTCTCTGGTGGAGGGAAGGATTAATCGTAGGAGTAGTGTACGCATTCAGCGTAAGCGCGGCATAACTTTTCTTATTGCAACTCGAGGAAGGGAACAAAGGATCCTGAGACATCGCGGCGGCGCATCCGCTATCGCAATCCCATACGCGTAGGAATGCATCACACGATGTTAGCAGAGAAAGATGGGGGAGAAAAAGGGGGAGAAGGGAGTAAGATAGTAAGGGGGAAAAAAGGGGGAAGGGAGGAAAGGGCGAAGAAAGAAGAAAAGAGAAGAGGGAGGAGGAGGAGGAGGTGGTTGAGGATGGATGTATAGGAACACTGATGAGAGTGCGCCGTCTGATTGCGAGAAAATCCTCACCTCGCAATACAAAAATGTATTCCTTAGCAAAAATAACTTCAACATAATTATACAGCGTTACGTTTTAAAAACGTATACGACGTTTAACTACGAATCTAATCGAGATAATAATAATTAATATACCCCTTGCTATATATATATATATATTTTTTTTTTTTGTTTATATAATATGCGTACTTACTACGGATCGTTTGATGAATAAGAAAAAAATTTAGCAATAAATCAAAGTCATAGAAACGAGCGAAATAATTATCTGACGGTACCTTACAAAATATAATGATATATGTATATATATATATATATATATATATTACTTATCTGTATATATCGGTGGTTAACAGGTAGCTATTTGGTAAAATGAAATACTCGTTGACCACTTTCGAGAATTAGGTACGAAGAGATTATCGGGATCGATTATTATTTTCAGTGTTTTTAACGCATGTATAATAGGACCTTTAGCTGGTTATGAATATAATCGGTAAATGTAAATATGTGTGTGTGTGTATGAGAGGAAAAGACGGTAAAGCCGAGCTCAACGCGTCTTAATTACAGTTTAGATGATGCCTGACGTAATCCAACTCGGATATCTTTCTTTTTTTTTCTTTCTCTTTCTTCTGATACTTTTGATACAACAGCGCACCACCGTTTCGCGATTAATCGCGCGCGTAAAGACACACTCGTACGAATAGAGAGAGAGAGAGAGAGAGAGAGAGAGAGAAGCTCATTATTATTCAATTAAAGTGAGACAACGTATTAAACGGGTAGCGTGAAACCACCGACTATGTGAAGTATGTAGTAAGTTTCTCGAGTTCGTTTGCGGTATAATAACAAGGACGAATGCGAGTAAGCGGTATCGCGTACCAGTTTCGAGTAAATACTAGGACTACTCTGAGAAAGATTGTTTGTCTCTATTTCTTGGTGAGAATGCAGCATTCCTATTGCAATCAGTGACCGTTGGATGATATCTAAATTCTCTTTAAAGAAATACGAAACGTGAAAGTTACTCTATCACGTGGACGATGTTTTTTCTCACGTTTGGAATATAAAATATATTTAATGTTAATTACAAAGAAGAGAGAGTATTTTTGATATTTATTCCTAGTTAAAAGTAGAAAGGAAAATGATTATTAAGAAATCAAATCATATGACTATTCTTTTGAATTCCTATTCGATATATTAATTGAATAAATGATGACCCCCTTACCTTAACGAAAGAGTGAAATTTGACTTTGCTCGGTGAAACAGGCGGACTGTTGGGTGGTCTTTGCTGTGACGAATTAACTAAATTCTGGACCTCTAACAAACATCCTTTCCTGACGTATTTATTCCTAGGGCTACTCTGAGTATCCATTTCCATCTTGACTTTCTTGATTAATTTCAAATTTTCTTTAGTATTTTGTCTGAGTATTATATGGCTTAATCTTCTCGTGTTGGCTCTTGAATCTTCTATGCAGATTCTCCTCCACACTTTAGAAACCATACTTATTGAACAAAGATCTTGCGGTGCTAAATAGGATAGAATTTTAGAAATTATCCTCCAATGATTACTCTTTTCTCCCAATAGTGCAAGAAGATCTACTGTCTTTCTTCCAGTGTAATCTGGTTTAACTTTTGTACGATGTCTTGCCAATGAAAAAGTACGATGACTAAAATCCAACCTTTTAGGTTTGATCTCTGTTATAGATGGTATATCAACGATACAAAGTTTATTTAGCAATTTTGGATCTTCAGTCGAAGATAGATTGTTAGTTTTCCTACCGGTAGGAGAACATGCTATGCAAGGAGTTATAGTTTGATAATTAGAATTAGATTCCTGGGGTGTACTCTGTGGCATAATGACTAGTTTCATTTCCACATCCTCTTCTATTGGTTCTGAAGCAATAAAGGAAGAAGATGGTACCGCCAAGGAAGAAATTGCTGGAGAAGGTGGTGGGGAGAGAATTTGTAAACTGGCAGATGCCAATGTAACAGGCATTGTAGTTTTCCATGCTCCATAAATACTACTAGTAGATCCTTCACTAAAATCTTCATAAGTTAAGTTTAGATTATGAGAGGTGCTACATGGACTGGCATGTTCTAAACTGTGACTTTGGCTTGTGATACTCAAGTTTGATGTTCCTATAGAGGAGTATGCACAATCTTCATGTTCGGAAATGACAGAGTCAGCATTACGTGTGCTATTGGGCAATTCATTAGGCTTCAAACGATAACGTTGTGTGCGATTCGATTGATAGAAATTTTGACGTATCCGAAAATGCCTTTTTAAAGGAGTGACGCGTGATTTGTACCTTGCAGTTATCGGAGTATGCAAACTGGAACGTGGTGTCAAGGTTAAGTAACCGCTGTCAACACTGTCATGAGAATCGTGCGAATTGTTTTTACTTATATCGAAGGTAATCGGGTGAGCCGGTAGCTCAAAATTTATATTGCTTTTTTCCTCCATTATGCTGATTTTTCTTCTTTCACTTTTTAGTTAACTTGTTAAAAAGAAAAAAAAAAAACAAACTTCTCACCAGCCACAGAGACTACCTCTTCTTAGAAACGATTTCTAAATCGTATAAAAGCACCATATTACGTATGTACCGCTGAACGACGCGCGTGTCCTCGATGTACCGACTTACTTACGCACGTATTATACACAAATATTTCAAACTTTAGTCGCGTCGATCTTATATTCGGCTACTTTTTTTTTTTACGCATTAGTATACCGTTGACAACGTCAAATCCATCGTTAAATTGTAAAACGGCACGTACATATTTATTATTTCTTTTAACGTTGAAATAAATATTCTCTTTTCTTACTGACTTATTATTCTTCTTCTTGTTTACGCGTTGCACTGCTAATAATTCTTCTTTCTTTCTTTCTTCTATATCACGTGTTTAGCGCGGGAAAAAAGGGGACGCACGATATTGATAGAGAGCGGGAGAAAGCAAGAAAGTCACCGCTACGAGTCACTCACAAGCATCCGTTCGCGCGCGTCTGTAAACAAAAGCTTCGGGAGGATCGTTAACCGAGAAGAAGAAGAAAAAAAAAAAAAACGACGTACATATATTTTCTCACTTCTTCCCACGATATTTTATCCGAGTCAAAATATTAAAATATAATCGTGATCCCTTTCCTTGGAATGACTCCGATACGTCATTCCGAATTAATCGAATTTTTCACTTTCTAACACACTACGCACTAACACACAATATCTCTCACATACTTTACAAGGCCATAACCGATATACGAACGCTCGATATTGCGGTATTGCTGCTACTGCTACTACTGATGCTGTCTGCTGCCTGGCTAAGGCAAGAAGCGGGAAATACACGCACGCGGAACCGCTACCCCCTTTCCTCTTCTCTTGCGGATCCCCCCACACGCTTTAAGGAACCACTTCGAAACTTTGAAAACTGTTTATCCCTTCTCCCACCACAAGCCGCTAGACGATCCTCCAACCAATGAAATATCTCGTCTTATCCCGCCGTTCGTTGCCAAGCGCTACGATTGGTTGCTCTCCTGCCTTCCTTCGATGTTCACCAGCAGCGTCCTCTGAAGGACGACATGGTAATACAACGTCGCTGTTGCCGAGGGAATTTCGGAGTAACGCAATTGTTCCAGCTTCCACGACGATACATTATTTCAATTTTCGGAAGAATCTAATTCTCCTCGATGGTAATGATTATTATTATTTTTCTTATGTAATTTTGTTTATTGATTTTATTTTTCAATGAAAATTCTTCAAAATGGTTCTTCCAACGATCGCTATACGAAATTATTTCGCAAATATATCTTTAATCTCTTTGTTCTTCGTTTGATCGTTTACGAGAACACTATTTCTTTGTGTTCATTATTTGAATGGTTATTTTATGATTTATTCGATCGAAATTTTATTTCATAGATTTCTATATTCGTTAAATTCTACGTTTATATACTTTAAGAAAATTCAAATATTTTTTCTAATATTTCGTATTTCTCCGTTATAACAATAGTTAATATTTTATCGATCGAGTAACGTAGTACGATATTATATGTTCAAGAAATTTTAGTTAATTTTTTGATATATATATATATATTTGCATGTTGAAGATTTCTATATATTTCGATATTTCAGAAAAAAAGTAACGGAATTCGACCATTCTTTTTTTTTTTATACATATAATATATAATTACTACGAATCACGCCACCTGTATGCAAGTAACTGGTTCGATACTCAATTTTTATTGGTCGTCGATAAACTTGTCGGTTGAGCGACAAATTCCTGTTGATACCATATTTGGATCGACATGTTTTTAATTTCAATTATTTTTCCTATAAACATGAATTTTAACGTTCACGTTTATTAACAGAAGAAAACTAATTAACTTTACTTTATTTTATGCTTCAATATATTTGCAATGCACGTTTTATTTTTTTTATATAGGAATATTTTTGCAGTAATAGTGTAACATTTTTATAAAAATTTATTTTATATTTTTTTTATTATTTTTGTATGTCCTTTTTAGCGTATTATTTTTGAATTTATAATAAGTCTCAATTAATATTTTTTTCGTAATAGAATATTTCAAAATTCTTATTATAATATGTAAGTTTAATAATCATAAAACAGGTTTCTGTGTAGAAAAATTTTAAAGCTTTACATTGCAAATAAATATCAATTATTTCAAATTTACAGTTGTTATCAGGTACGAATATTTCTGTAACTCATTATATACAGAGTTGATTATACAAAACAATGTAAGCAATATATGTTTTTATTTACAATAAATAAATTACATTTTCATTGATAGTTTAACAGAGTCATAGAATTAGGAAGAAAAGTGATTGTAACGCTATCAAAATGTTGGCACTTTTATAATCTATAAAAAGTGATACTATTCCTTTAGTATGCTATTATAAAATCTTATAACGGTCCCATTATCTGATATATCGACGACTATTAGTCATACTTGGTTCCAATTAATCTGGTTCAGAATGAAATTCTCAAAGATGAACTAGTGTGCCAACATAGCAAGTTATTATAAAAGCATACCATCGAAACCACTTACATATAGCAGTTTTCATCAGTTATGCGTTCTGGTAAATATTTATAAAATCTTAAAAAGATGTATATATCGTTTATATTACATATAAAATATCATTTGCCAACAATTTGTAAGTGTTACCTTCAACATATATGTAAAATTTAAATGATTCATAAAAATATAAGGGGGAGGAGTTTTGCCTTTTTTTTTTTTTTGTTTGTTTGTTTGTTTAAAGTTTATAGTGTTAAATCAGATGACATAAGCCAATACTATGATGAAAGTGTAGTTATAAAATATAGTTTGACAAACAATGTACAAGTTGTAAATTCAAATTTAGTATTTATTTTTTTTCCCCTTTTTTCTTTTTCTTTTTTTTTTTCTTTCTTTCTTTTTTTTTCCCTTAAGATTTTGTAATACTGAGTTTGGAAGAAGCCAAGCCAACTCGCGAAGAGAAATTTAAGAATGATTCGTAATTATCGTTTGCATAACTTTTTTTTTTTTTGTTTTTCGTTTACTATTGGATTAGATATCTTACTTCACATTCTTACATGACTTTTTTTCCATATAATTTTTTTTTATTTATATACTACCTAGGGGGGGGGGGGTTTGTATTATATCTTTTTTTTTTTTTTACTCTTTTTCTTTTTTTGAAAATATAATTTAATATACGTATACTAATCTCTAATATAAAATATATTTTAAGTACCAGTTCAATGTGTAATTTTTGAAAGCTGTATGTATATTTATATCGTTTAGAGAAAGAGTTTTAATCTAATCAATTATTTATTACTTAATATTGTAATTGGAAACGATATATATAATTTTCTTTTTCTTTTTTTCTTTTTCTTCATAAAAACATATACATATCTTTTAATGTGATAATACTTCTGCACATTTATAAAAAAAAAAAAAAAATTTGAAAATAAACCGAAAATATATTTGTAAGCTCAATTCAATGTAAATTTCTCATATCAAAATATTTCCTATATTCAAGATAAAAATGACGAGAGACGTGAATATTCATCATAGGAATATTACTTAAATGAATAATAGATTTGTAATGATATGTAAATGACATCTTGTCATGTTTACATTGAAAAATTTTTTTTTTTTTTAATATATCTATAAATGTAGTTATTAAAAAATATATTATCAAGATTGTTTCTTTTTTTTTTCTTTCTTTTTAAAAAGTCATTAATTTTATGATCACATTAAGCTAGTAAAACAATAAACTTAGCATTTATAATCAATGCTTATAGGGTTTGAATCATTTGAAATTTTGGAAGTGCATAAAAATGACGTAATATGTCTTTGATAGAACGATACCTCTCTGCGTGAAGTATTATTAGATTTTGTTGTTATCGTATCAGATAATTTTCATGTGTTTTAATATATATTCAATTTCTATCTTATAATATCTTAAGGGAAGAAATGTTGGCTTGGCATTTTGGGCACACACACACACACACATGTACACATTACGAAAGTATACATGGCCTGTAGTTGGAGCTCAATTAAAATAGACACACCAAATGCTACGTTAGACTATGTTACATTGATATCTTTCAGTGACAATCACTTTGACTGGACCTCATTGTATATAATTGTGCGATATACAACCTGTATTGAAATCATTTTTTAACTCAAGCACGTTTAGGTACAATTTCTGCAAATTTGAAATCTGATTATGCTATAGGAAGGACATCGTGTACTTAAGTGCTTCATTAACATCGTCTTGCTTTCTTTCATCAGACAGTTAAATACAAGATACTATACAACTGTCATTTAACATGATATATACTTTAATTTTGAAAAATTATGAACAGAATCAGTAAAATGATAAATTGTGTTATTAGTAATAATAACAATGGTTAATATACATTAAGCATAGTAAATTGAACACTGTTTATGTGGTTTCTACAAATTTCATATTTTCTTTAAGGAAAAAAAAAAAAAAGAAAGAAGAAAAACATATAATCTCTCTATTAATTTGTCAAATATTTTTTTCAGTAATTTTAAATTCACAATAGTAGAATATTTAAAAGTTTCGTATTAAATTAAAACAACCGACGCTGTTTCTGTATATCATCAGTTACTTAAATCTACAATAATAACTAACACATGATATTTTTATATTATACATAAATATATACAAACGTATCTTCTCTTATTTATATATTCCAACACTTATTCAAAACTAATATCATACATGTGTGTGTGATAACGCGCATGTGCGCTTGCATGTGTCGTTATATGTACCGATAAGCAAGATTTCGTATTAACTTGTAACATCTGAATACTCTTAATAGTTGCACACACATTTGCACTTTAAATACAGAATCACATACCAGTCCATTGCACGTTATATTGCTACAACGTTATTATATATATATATATATATATAATATAATATATCAGAATTATATATGTTCTTTCGAGTGATGTATTTAAAGATTTGAGAAGAAACATTGTAAAGTGTTAGATGAGGACTATACAAGCATTTACAATGTTATGATTTTGTGGTAGAAATAAGCATATATATAAGCATATATATATATGCATATAGCATAATCATATATATATGAGATATTGGATATCTTTTAAAAGTTTTCATTTTGTAACTCCTTTTTTATTTCCTTCTTTTTTGTATTCTATCTATATTTTGTTGTTATATTAGACATAATGGTATATTATAGTTCTGTTTCCTAGTTATATTTTACGATAATTATGTACTCTCGTTGAAATTTTTCAAATGTTCTTTTCAAAGTTCTTACTATCATGACGTATATTTTCAAATTTATTGTTAGATATCATTAACAGTTAATTACTTTTGGTCAACAGTATTCACTGTACATCCATATATAGTAGATAGCAACTTTTTCTTCCTAAATTAATAGAATTTTATGTTAAGACCATAACATTTTAAAGAAATATTTTGATCACAATACAACATCATATTAAATGTTTTTCTTTTCTTTTTTTTTTTTTTTTTTTTTTTCTTTTTAGGACAAAAAGCAAGGAAGACAAAAAACAACTTTCACTTTTTATAAAAGTACATCTTTTAAATGGCCAACATACATTTTTATGAAATATAGTATCTCTTACTGAACATTTGCTGATGTAGCAAATAATTTTGGCACTATGTATCTCNAGCAACTTTTTCTTCCTAAATTAATAGAATTTTATGTTAAGACCATAACATTTTAAAGAAATATTTTGATCACAATACAACATCATATTAAATGTGTTTTTTTTTTTTTTTTTTTTTTTTTTTTTTTTTCCTTTTTTGTCGTTTTATAGAGATTTATCAGAGTTGAAATGCTTTTGTACAAATCCCTCATCTTTTAAATGGCCAACATACATTTTTATGAAATATAGTATCTCTTACTGAACATTTGCTGATGTAGCAAATAATTTTGGCACTATGTATCTCCTCCTATCTTTTGTCGGCTGTGATCTTCTCTAACGCGTTCATCTGTAGCAGTAATTTTCTTCTGAGTATTTTCTTTTTCCCTACATTTATTCGCAGTTCTATCCCCATGAATATTTGTACTAGACTCTGTTTCAATATTATGTTCAACAAAACAGTGCACTTGCAATTCATTTACATTACGCATAGACACTGGACAGACTTGGCACTTGTATGATTGTTGTAAATTATTTTCCGATGAAACTGCCGATTGATTAGCATTTTCCTTCATACCGTATTCCCGTTTCTGTTGATTAAATTGCGAATTAACAATGTGAACATCCATCATAGATTTGGGATCTTCAGTTGCAATTGGCACGTGATATGATCGAGACATTTCTCCTTCCGTCGTTGGTTTCACGGGAAACGAATACATTGGATGTTGAGTTATAGGTTCACCTTCGTCTGAAGATGTTTCACTTCCGCTAATAGGATGTTGACTTTGAACTACTTCTGTATCCCATTGACCCATTTTATTGGGATCCTTTTCGCAAAGCCTTTGTGCCAAAATCTATTAAAAATGTAACAATATTGATATATTGTACATTTTATCTAGTTGTATTATAGATAATTTCGAACATATACTAACCTGAAGACTAGTAAGACTGTTATCACAATCCGTGGTGTCGATATCATTTAGATTGATACCAGATCTTTCCATTTCGGCATATGTACCAAATGGTAATTTACCCAAACATTCTAATTTCATAATATGCATTTTACTACGTAAATGTTTAGCCAAATGACCGTGTATTCTGAAGGCGATTTTGCAATCTGTACATTTGAAGGGTCTAGGATTGCTAGTAGTGGCAGCTCCAAAAGTAGACGTCATACTGACCTATATCCCAATTATTACATATTTATTATGTTTTAATAAATTAAAAAGTTTAATATAAATCGAAGATACAAAATTTCTTAAAAAATACCTTATTGTGATGTGAAACTGATCTTTCGTGTTTCGTTAGGTGGCCTTTTGTTCTGAAGGAGACTGCACAACTCTCACATCGAAATGGTCTTTCGAAATAATGAATATTGATATGCAATCTTAAATGACTAGGTTTGGTGAACACCTTGTTACAAATCCCACATATACTTCGGCCGTCTTCCGTAACACTGTAACTATATACCATAGGTTTAATTCTTATAATGATTATTTTATTTTTTTCAAAATCAATTGTATAAATGTACAATGTAATATATATGTGACCACTTTTATAAATTATAAGAAAATGATAAAGCTCACCTAATATAATTCGGTGCTGGTCCAGTGGATGGTTGTAGAAATTCAGCTTGAGGTTTAGCATTTCCTACAGTTGGAGATTGTGACCTAAAATCTGGACCACCTACAACCACTTTCCGAGCTACCGTGTGTTTAATACTATCCACAATATTTTGTTTCGTCATTTCTGCATTATGTTTGATTTCAGAACGATCTGCATTCTTGATATCTATATTTTGTGGTCTAGGTACATCCTGCAACTTAGGTGACTCGCGCGTAGATGATTGTATTATTTCAAAATGACGTCTTGCTTCTTGCGGTTGAGATCTATATTCTGATCTGTATTCCGACATACGCATGTCTCTACTAGGAGGTCTATTATCTGGAATAACTTGTCTTGTTTCCATATTTCCTGGTGGGACGATCTCTTGACGTACATCCGTTGGTATTTGTTTAAATTCTGTTCCTAAAGGCTGTATCTCCTGACCACGTAATTTATAATCTTGAGTTGTTAATCGTAACTCTTGAGGTTGGGTACGATAATCTTGATTAGGCATTCTGACTTCTCTGTTAGGAGACCGAAGCTCTAGATTTCGAGGACTTTGACTTTGCATTCTAATATCCGAAGGTAATCGCATTTCTTGGTTAACTGGTCTTACTTCTTGATTCGCTACGTTCATTGTTTTAAGTATGGAAGTTCTTTCGGGTTCGTTGTTACTGTATTGTATCGGAACGAATCTGTTGTTAGGATCGGAATGAAAATGTTTCGGTGAATGACGATCTAGAACAGGTGTGTTACGAGATGATATATCAACTGAATATTTATTTCTTTCTATGGGATTGATATTTTTATTCATTACGATGAATTCATATTCGATATTACTTCTCGGATTGTTCTCATGAATATCTCGACTAGTATGCTGCTGCTGCTGCTGCTGGTGCTGTTGCTGTTGCTGTTGCTGCTGTTCTTTATCTTTGTGTACCGATTCGAAATTATATAATAATCTTTCCATTGCTACGCTGTTTTGATAAATCTTTTCACGAATTTCTAATTTAATTTCGTCCGCGGATTGTTTTACTGCGTGTTTGATCTTAGATTGTATTAATTTCTGTTGAATTTTCGTAAAATCCGTATACGTTACTGTAGGAATGTCACTAACGTCATCTACATTTCTTGTTCTCCCACCAACATCTTGGTATTTAGGATAAACGTCTCTGTTATCTCCGCTTATTATTGTTGTATCAATTTTCGAATTTCCAACACGATATTGTTGTTTGATTTTACTATCCATAACGTGTCTCTCGGTAAGATATGCTTGAAGCATACGTCCTTCAGCATTAGGCTTCCATTCCCTTCCTTGTATAGGTAATCGTTCCATTGTTTGCACTATTGTTTGTAATACAACTGGTTCTGATACCGGTGTCAAGATGTCAGCAGGCATTGCTCTTTGTGGTACTGGTGATGGTACAGGTTGCTGTTGTTGTGCAGTAGTAGTTTGCTTAGTCGTAAGATCCATTGGTTGAGATATCTGCTGACGCAAATCTGAATCGGTTATCTCTTCTACTTCGATATCCGAGTCTTCTTTTTTCGATAATTGTATAACACTGCTTCTTAACTCATCAGCAGCTGTCCATTTTGAAGGGAAATAATAACGATGCGAATGATGTTCATTCTGAATGAGGCTAGTTTCTTGATCGTTCGTATTATGATCGCTCGTAGATAAAGTGCTCGTGGAAACGGTTGATATGATATTCGTTGTAACTGAACTCGATGGAAAAGTCAAAGTATAAGGATATGTCGTTGGTCGACCCGAAGGCAATAATCCTGGTAATCTGTTAGTATTACGTTGCGACAGGCTAAGCAAACTTTGCGCAGCTTCGTGCTCTTCGCTCCCAGATTCTTCACTTTCGTCTCCTTCACCTTCGCTCTCTTCTTCCTCCGAAGTTGATTCTTCGGTATTTCCACCGACGGCCAATCGCGCGATAGCTTCTTTATCGATATTCTCGTCGCAAACTGTTGTTGGTACCGGAGCTATTCCAAGCTCAACACATTTTTTATAATGTGCTTTTGACTTCATATGTTTCGTGAGATTGCCCTTGGTCTTGAAGCTGTTGACAAATATGCAAATGTATTGTCATTCATTTTTATTAATACAGAAACATAAGGCACAAACAATCGAGAAAGGAAAAAAACCGTGAATTTAAAAGAGGATTAATTAAATACGAAATCACACAAGAGTTGAGACTGAGATTGTTACAAACGTTACAATGAATGTTACAATACATAATAATGATTTGAAAAAAGAAATTACCTAAAGGCACAGTGCCTGCAGGTGTATGGTCGTACATCCGTATGAGTTCTGATATGTTTCTTCAGCATAGAAGGCTTCTTACAACGAATTCCACATTCTTCACAGACATACCGACCCCGACCTAATCGAATCGAAACGGGAATGAATCAATTTCTTCCTGCAAATGTAAACCCGTAAAGTAAGATAGGTCTTATATGACTTACCACGACCTCTAACATAAGTGTAATCCTCGTTACTTTCAAAACCACCGTCGAAAATTTTAATTCTTTTGTATTTTTCTAGTATATCACTTTCTAAGCCACTATCCGGACTCGTTGGAGTGATAGGCCTCTGCGAAGAATGAGTTAAAATATCTTCTCGCATAGTACAAGCGGTGGTATAATTAAGAGGTCTGTTTCTAGAATCATAATGTGCCAAATCCAAATCTGGTGGTGTTTCTTTGCAAATTTTCCAATTGGAATACATAGAAAGACCGTGCTGTTGCGTAACATACATAGGCTGCGGTCTGTTAAGGGTACAATAAAATACTCTAGTTGAACACTTTAAACCTAGATATGTATAGGCGTGTCCATTTAAATAAAGTTGTCCGTAAGATTTTTTTGGTCTAGGAGTTTCTGGGCTTATCAGGGAAAGTGTATTCGCCGTTGGCGTAATACCGTGATGTTTTTTTGGCGTAAACGTTCCAGGTTTTAACGGTAAAGAAGTCGGTCTTAAAAACTTATTAACACTAGTCTCTTCTTTAGCACCGTCGCTAGTTTTCGGCGATTTAGCTTCAGACTTATCCGTTTTAACAACTAATTCTACGAAAGTTTTACTTGGCACTTCTGACTTGGATGAATCTAAATTCACAAGTATCACTGGGGGTGTTTGTGAAGGGGGTGGCGGTGGCGGTGGTGGTGGTGGTGGTGGTGGTGCTACTGCTGATGCTGTTGCTACTACTGATATTTTAACTATCGAAGGATCCACTTTTAATTTACTTTCACCAACCGTGTTATAACTTTCGACTACCTTTCCTCCTCTCCCTTCTAGAACATTTATTTTGATACGGCCATTTTCACGAGAAGGCGAAGAATCGTATTTCAAATTCGAACCATATTCCAAAGTTTCGACCTGCGTTCTACCGATTTCCAGCTCCGCAATGTTCCAAGTAGAGGGCCTCTTTCTGTTCTCCAAAGTCGATTTAGGTGAATATTTGGGCTTGGGATACGAATTTGCAGAATTAACAGGTGCGTCTATGCCGTTAGAATAAGCGTAGGTCTTATCGACATTAGGACTTTTTTCAAGAGATAATTCTCTAGTCTCACGTGGGCTTTCCATGGCGGCTTTATGTTTAGCAGGAACGTTGAGTTTGATATGACGATCAAGTTCCGTTATTAGTAACTCGGTGGCAGCAGATGTGAGAGAAGACATCCTACTTGTTCGATACTTGTCGGTAGAATTATCGACTTTAATTGTAGGAACTTTGGGACTCGTTAATCCACTTCCGCTTCTCAGACCATCGCTACTAGGAGTTTTAAAGCTAAGCTTGGTCTCCTTCGCGGGACTAGCAAGATCCAATGGTTGGCCCATTATCGAGACATGTTCACCGGATATCGGTCCAGGAATTCCAGGTACGTTGGGTGTTTGAATCTTGACTGGACTGGCAAGATCCAAAGGTTGGGATATCATATGTAATCCGGGTACACCTGGTATAACTTTATATCCAACTTCACCAGATCCAACACCAGGAGATATATCTATAGGTTGTGGTGGAGGTTGCGGTGGTGCCCCGGTTAGGGTATGCGGTCCTGGCATACCAGGTACATAAGGAATAACCTTACCACCGTGAAGAATACTCGTGATACCCGCTTGAGGTAACGTCAATGGATTATAAGCGGTTATGCTCGTCAATGGATTAAAATGCGGTTCGAGATAGTTGAAGCAGGACATAGTCGGTGCTATGTTTGGGGTTGATATGTTTGGTATGATGGGGGCCAACAATTTAGGAGTGTTTGGCAAAGATATGGAAGAACTCTGTTGTGTACTGGTAGGCGTGCTAGGTGGTTTATGGACCATAGTACCACCCGAATGAAGACCAGATCTTACCACGATTGAAGATGTCTCCGACGTGACGCACTTGTTGCTTGAGATCTGTTCGCTAGTCGGCGAATTAGTTTGTCGCGGCTCGATTCTCATGGTCTTCGTCTCGCCCATATTGTCGAGTATCCTTACCTCGCCCCCGAACATTTGCAAGGAATTAGGCCTCGGATATTTGCTTAATTCCTCGAGTGATCTCAAACTAGTTGGAACCGATTCCGAGCGCTGTTTCTTCACGGGTGGCGCGTATGGATCGACGAGTCTCGTGTTGCCTAACAAAGGTCCTGGCGAAGGTAGTGGTTGCAAAGTAGCATAATAATCGGAAGACTTAGACTCGAACTCGGATTCCCTCTTATCATTATCCAACTGATATTCCGATATCCTTGGACTGATCAGTCCCTTGCAATAATATCGTCGATGAGTCTCGAGATTATCGATACTCGTATACGGTATGGTGCAAGATGGACATACGTAACTCTCAACTATCTCCGAGGTTGTAACAACCTCGGTGTTACAAATATCACGCGTTTTCAATAAAAGATCTTTGATGATGGAAGCCTCGTTGGTACTTGCTGGCGGCGGGGGAGGAGTTCGATCCGTATTCTCCTGAGCGAAACTTTCGCTGTAACAACGTTTCCTCGTCGAGGATTCGTCCACCGATGAGAGATTCAAGGGTTGATCGGATTGTTGCTTTATCTCTACCATACTCTGTTGTCGTTGCATTAATTTATGAAGACGCGGATCAACCGCGTCTACGATAGCACGATTGTCCGTTATTATTTTATCAATGTGTTCCTGCAACCGATCTGCGTTCGGTTTTGCAACGTTCACAACAGTGCCATTATTATTATTATTATTAATATTATTATTATTAATATTATTATTATTATTATTATTGGTCAATGGTATGGAAGAATTACTGGAAGAATTCGTTGACGAAAACGAAGATGTGGTTTCCGCTTCATTGTTTATCGATTGTAAAGCGGTATGAAACTTTGGCTTATAAATCTTTCCAGTTTTGACGGTCTTCACGACGGAGGAAGTCGTTGTGGGCGTTGATGTTGGTGGAGGTGGTGGAGTTCCTGTACCGTTACTAGCACTGTCGGACAGGCTGATGTCCGAGTCTTCCGAAACCTGCTTCAAAAGTAAGCACACACACACACACACACACATACATATTATATTATATTATATATATACACGCGTCTAAGACGTTTGAAATATTTTTATCGAGATTTAACCCTTTGATTGCGAACAAACAATACTCTATATAATATAATCGTTTTATTTTCATTCAAATTATTGTTAGTTTATAATAAATGTCACGTTACGTTAACGCAAGTCAAAGAGTTAAAATAATATATGTAATATATTTGAAGAAAAAAAATATACCTTGCTGCTATCACCGCCTTCCATTTTTAAAGCATGAGTCCGAGATCTACGATGTTTGTAAAGATTCGACTTTGTTTTAAAAGCAAAACCGCAGGGCACGCAAGGATAAGGTCTCTCGTTGGTATGTGCTCTTATGTGCTTTTGCAATACACTCGGTTTCGCACAGGAAAGCTTGCAATAAGGGCAAACGTAGCCGGTTTTTCGCGATTCCGCGGGCTCGGTGGTCTCGGAGCTGGCCTCGGCTGATTCTGCCTCGGCCTTGAGGGATTCCTTTGGTGAATCTCTACTCTCCTTGACCGTTTCCCTTTTATTCGTGAGATCGGCATTCCCCATTTTGTTATCATCATCGGCCGTGCTTTCCTTCTTTGCCTCGACTCTAGGCGTAACCTCCGTCGTCGCCATCTTCTTAAACTTTTTGTGCAAATATTTTGGCTCGCCATCGTTGTTGTTGTTATTGTTATTGTTGTTATTATTGTTGTTGTTAGTTAATTGTGGATCTGTCATCGCCACAGTATAATATTCTGTAACAAAACAAATGATTAATAAGCAACGTTAACTAATTTATAATTATTTCATTATTTACTCTCACGCTTAATATAATAATTATGATAATTGTGTGTGGTAGTGTGGGGAGAGAGGGACAGGGCAGGGAATTTAATTGTAAATTTAAACAAACTAAAATTGCAAATATTTTTTAATGTTTTACTATAAATACAATCGATTTGATCAATTTTTTATTATTTTTTGTAATCTATTGTTATAATTATCGAATACACATATTTTGTTTAGATCAAAAATTGAAAGTTAACAAAAAATTGCTAGATTTGATTATAAAAGATAATAACGAGAGATAGAGAATTAATTCGGTCGGGTTTAATTTACAAAAAATTACTTTGTTTTATGAACAAATGGTATGTAACACATATATATAGAAAATTGCACTTTGGTTTGCCAAATAAATCGATCGAAAGAAGAAGAAAAAGAAGAAGAAGGTAGAAAGGTTGTGGATGAATTCGTACGAATTCGATTATATCCACTTGAAACGTTCAATATTCACGGCATACAAAAGGTCGTTCTTCAGAAATTATGCGAGAATGGATTATGAAAGCGGAAAAAGCCGAGTTCAACAGTTCAAATAGTCAGTTTGACCGCCGTATATATATATATATACCGTTTACTTATTAGGAAACTTTCCTTCGATTGGATTTCCATTTGTGTAATCGATTGATTTTTTATTTACATATATATATATATATACTTCTTTACATATACACACATTTATTCACGTAATTTATTTACGTACGAATTTTGGTCAGCACAAATTTATTTCTATTTTTTTTCTTTTCTTCTTCTTCTTTTTGTATTTTGTAATTCTAATTTTAAATTTGTGATATACAATGGATTGATTATAATATATTCGATCAAAAAACGATTTTTCCTTAAATAATTAAATATCATAAGTTATAATAATAATTAACCACACAACAATTTTACTTGGAAAAAGCATTAAATTATTTCATTGTAAATTTTAATGAGAAAATAATGCAAAAAGAAGTACTTCTTCGCATTGTTTGCTTTCCTATACTTCATCTTAAAGTTTCTAAGAATTCTTTTAACTAACACATAAGAATAAGTAGTAGAGAATTGAACAAACAAAAGATTTTAAAAGTCAGTCTCTCTCTTTCTTTTTCTATTTTAGTTATCCTTTGTTGTATAGTCATCGTTATTTATCTCTTTCTTTTTATTACTTGAATTTTGACTTTAATCGTTAAACAGAAATATCGTAATTTTTCCTTAGACATAAATTTTGGTGACATCGTTTTCTTTAACCAAGTTCTATACTAGTAATAGTAGTTAGTATCCGCCTTTTCTATTTAATTATCGTTTATTTCTATCTCAGGAGAAGAAAGCAAGATGGAAAACAGGAAATTTTACATGATTTGACTGAAAAAAAAAAAAAACCCACGTAGCCACGTATATACCACGACACAATGGAATGAATAATCTAAATAAATTAAATAATTGGCAGAAAAAACAAAACTAAACAAATATATTAAGCGTAGGAAAACAACGATGCTTAAATATTTTAATAACAATCTAATAATATTCGTGAAAAACTACGGGGGTCTTAGTTTGTTTTTAAACGATACGAATGAGAATGACGAATACAACAAATTATATAGCATTTAACGCAATAAACAATAAGATTAAGAAATAAAGAGAAAGACAGAGGGGAAAGGAGGGGGGATAAAATGTAAATATTAAAAATTGTTGTGAATGTAAATGGCGTTGATTTAACCCTTTGAGTGCTATGAACGCATATATGCGTTTGATAAAAGTTGATACGCGTGTGTTTATCAATGTGTGAATATAAAATAATGTAATATATTTCTTGTATCTTGTCAGATGAAAATAATATTGTGAGAAAAGAAATATTATAATTATTAAATATAATTTTAATTAATATTAGCATATATATATATATATATCTGATCACATTAATAATAAACCTAAATTTTCATTCGTAGAAAACACTTTTCAGTTAAAAGGTTTAAATCCAACTTTCTTTCTTTTCCTGATATTATATTCAGTTAAATTGCGAATATGTGGAAAAATAATAATATGAACACGATGACGGACTGGGGCTTGGTACGAAGTCGTGAGAAATGAATGAATCAACGAGGAGAGAAGAGACTACTTGCCTCCTCGTATTCCCATTCACCGCTTTTATGCGTATATTCCACGAAGTTTAACAGTCGTATCAACGCTTATCACAGGACGCTCTTTATGCGGTACACAGGCCGAGTCACGAGTTTATTTTTATTCTTATATCCTATGTCCACACATACAGATACATATTATATACATACATACACACACACGTGTGTATATATATATATTTATATAGAGAGTGAGAGAAATGCTTGAATATCCGCAAACTCAGAGATATCTTTCTTTTAAATAATCGGTTTATTCTTCCATCTCTTTTTCTTCTCCCTTTTTTCTTTTTCTTTTGCAAAATTTAAACGCTACAAAAAATCAAAATTAAAATAGAAAAAATAAAATGAAATGAAATGAAATGAAATGAAAAAGAAGAATAATATACGAGTTCCTAGATATTAATTTTCTTCGTGGCCGATAAAAAACGTTATACTCGAAACGTTATTCGAAATAAGTAAAAAAAGAAAAGAAAAAAAAATTACACGTTCGCGATATTTAATTTCGTCATGATCGATTAAAAAGAAAAAAAAAAAAAAAAGAATAAAATAAAAACTTTACTTTCGGCCAATGATAATAATAATAATAAAAAAAAAAAGAAGAGGTTCTCTCCCGAAGATTAAATCTCGTGTAATAATAAAACAAATCGATAAAAAAAAAAAAAAAAAAAAAAGATAATAAAAAGGAATCATTATAATTCGACCGGTTCTTTTTCTCGAGCATGATTTTTCTTTTTCTATTTCTTTTTTTTTTACTTTTCTCAATGCTTATTGATATTATTGTTGGGGGTTGCCCTCTATCGCGATAGCTCGATCCTTGACCTCATCTTCTCTTCAGTGCCATTTAGACGACTTCTCTCTCTCTCTTGGATGTATCTCTTGTTAGAATTATCGATCTTTAGATATAATTTTTGGCACGTGTATTTTGTCTTAATAATGAGTGAACGAACGATGATAGACCACCCCTTTTTTCTATTTTTTTTTTTTCCCAATATAACACGACTAAAAAAGATTTACTATCTTTCTTTCTTTCTCTCTAACAATCTTTTAATTAATTTATAATAATTCAACTGTGTGTGTGTGAAATCTCCTCCTACTTTAATTATAAATGATTTTGCATATTAGTATCGTACCGAAATATTAAAAAAAGAAATAAATAAATAATTAATTAATGAAGGAATAAAAGAAAACAAATCTATTAGATATCGAAACCTACGTAAATATAGTCAGATTGGGATGAAGATGATGGTAATACTCAGAGAAAGAAAGAGAAAGAGAGAGAGAGAGAAGATTGACCTTTGTGTATTTATGAGAGGGCGAGGCAGTGGCCTTTAATTTATGCTTAAATTGCATCGCGAGGACTGGGCATCGTTAATATATACACACATACATGTATGTATATGTGCAATATTACTTACGTACGTCTCTTCTTTTTTTTTTATTTTCTTTCGATTGATCTCTCACGCTTGTTATTTTTTTCTTCTTGTCATACGAGTACACGTGGCACGCACACACACTCACCACATAATCACTCACTCACTCACTCATACACTTACTCATATACACGCGCATAATTCATAATCTCGAATTATATATGAAAAAAAAGAAATATTTGTCAATGTTTTCATTTAAAAAAAAATGACATACATACATACATATATACATATATATATATATATATATGTAAGATGTGGAAACGTGGTTAAATTGTAAATATTGAACGTGTCATAACGCGATAGTAGTAGTAATCGACAAAGTAATTTAAGAGGATTTAATGAGCATAGAGCAGCACGTTTGGTCAACAGTGAGTCACACTTTAGGTTCGGCCTCGACCTCCCCCTCCCCCCTTCCTCTCTACCCTTCCCTTCCCTCCCCCTTCTTCCACCCTTTGATTTAACGATAGTTTTTTTGTCTATTTACACTGCACGATTCTAATGGCGTCACGGGTTTCTCGTTGATAAAGTTTTTTTGACGGGCCTCCCCCCTCCCCTCTTCTTCTATCTCCTATTCCACCTCTTCCTTCTCCTCCCCAACCATAGTTTCTCGATTATTAATGGAAATTCATTTTCTTTTATTTTTACAGCATTGAATATAGAATAAGTTTATTCGACGATGGTAGTAGTTAGAGGCCGAAATTACGAACGAAAACAATGGATGAATGGTCCAAGAAAAGACCCCGTCTCTTTACTACACCAAGTGGCAAACGAGTCTGCTGCTGCTGCTGCGAGAAGAAAGAGTAGAAGTAGAAGTAGAAGAAGAAGAAGGAGAAGAATAAGAATAAGAATAAGAAGAAGACGAAGGATAGTCTCTCTCTCTCTCTTTTTTTTTTTCTTTCCGAGATAGCCATGCGGTATAAAAAAAGAATCGTGAGGTGCTGCCATCAGCAAGGAAACGGGAGAATCCCGTACACGCAAGTGAGTCACGCGTACGTGCGCGGCTATCACTTCTCTACACACACATATACATATATATATATATATACATATACAATCGATGCATATAAGAGAACGGAACCAACACCGACCTGACGACGCGACTACGACGACGACGCACAACGATGCTTCCCCCTAACCCCTTCTTCTTCTTCTCTTAGCGGCCAACCCAACCGAACTCTAACGTCGACGACGTTCTTTACGTCCCCTTCCCTCTCACTCTCTCTCTTTATCTCTCTCCCTCTCTCTCCTACCAATAATTTCCCCTACTTTTACTTTACTTTACTTTACTTTGCCAGCAGCAGCGGCGGCAGCAACCGAGCCAGCAAAGCAGCGAAGCGCCTACGGTCACCACGAGGGAGACCCCTGATCTCTCCTCTCTTCTCACTTGGTTTGGTTTGGCTTGGCTTGGCTTGGCTTGGCTCAAACTTGGCTTGGCTTCTTTTCATCCCCACTTCAAAAGCAAGCAAGCACATTGTACTAGTGCTAACACATCATATCACTAACACGGCCCAACACATTAATAAAACGGAATAGTAGTCACAGGCAAGTATGGAAGTGTTAGAAGTAGTATGTATGTATTATTATAACTTACAAACTTCTCGTTGAGAGGTTGAACACACGTATTTACGCAAATTTCACTAACGATTGACTCTAACACCACATACCAGCGCAACAACTGCATCAGCAACAACAGCAGCAGCAGAGGAAAGCATAGCAAAGCAAAGCAAAGTAGCAAGCAAGCAAAAGCACGATGATAGAGAAAACGATTGGGTCAGACACCTCATGAACGTCTACCTACTAGCCGTGTCTACCACACTGTTAGAGTGTCTACTATGTTATCCCTAGGACGTTCACGGCCGTGTGTATTATATATCTACGGAATTCCCCCATTGTCTTCTGAACGATCTCTCTTTCTTTCTCTTTCCTTTCTCACTCTCATTTTCTTTCTTTCTTTCTTAATCTTTAACTTCTATTTCCGTTTAATATACACTACTCTCTATCCCTCAAAGATTTATATTTTTCTTCTTCTTATTATTCTTATTCTTATTCTTATTCTTCGTCCCTAAAGAAAGATACCTTTTATTTTTTCTTTCACACCTGTTATATCTGACAGAGCAGGAGAGAGAGAACCCAACAAAACAGAATTGTTTTTCTATCTTGTCTTTGAACACATCATATAGTCGTGTTTTTTTTTTTATATATATATATGCTCTCTCTTGTTTATATTTTTTAAAACTATTTTTTTCTTTTTTTTTTTTTTTTTAATTTACTTTCCTTCCGTCGCGTTTATTTTCGTATGACGAAAAAATTATTTTTCTCGGATTTTCTTTCATAAATAACTCTACGTAACCTAACAATCTCTCTCTCTCTCTTTCTCTTTCTCTTTCTCTCTCTCTCTCTCTCTCTCTCTCTTTATTTCATTCTCGAAAATATCCGTCTTCTTGAGTCGTTGATAAAAGGGGGAGAACGAAAACGAGATATCTTCTTGTTCGGTGATACGATAATCGATTTTCTTTATCATCCTAATACTCGGAATTTCAGTGGATTTAAGCGGAACTTTGAGGCTGCTTTTAAACGAACACGAAGCATGCTTTCTCGTACGATATGAAGTTTTCTCGGTAAAAGAGTTCAGAAGAGATAAGCTTTCGAGAAATTTTACGGGGGAAACCTTTGTCACTCGTCATTTATCATCGTTATGATAGAGACTGAAGGTTGTCCTTACGATTATTTTTATTTGTTACTTTCTTTATCTTGTAAGTGGGAAAATCGTGAAATCTCGTACGATAACATTGAACATTTTTTTTATATCGGGTTGAAAAATCTACATTTCGGGTGCCGTTTCGTTGCGTGCCCGTGTAATTGCAAATTACCTTCTCTATATATGATTAAAAATAAATTCAATAAAATATTGCACTACCGTTTCCTTTCTATTTTAAAATACAAGTCATTCTTTGATAAGAATCTTGACAAACAAATTTCTACGTTCTATTTAACAAACGCATAATCTAACGAATGTTAAAACTCTTATGTGATCTTTCTCTCTTCCAGCGTTATACTTATTGATTTTTTTGTTTTTTTTTTTTTAAATTACACGTTAGTATTTTTTATTACACATGATCGATGAATAGATTAATAAAATCGTGGATTGGATGAGAGAATGGATGATCTCGACTGACTACGAACGAACACTTGATAAAACGTTTCCTTATACACTTTCTCGAAGTTATAATATTTGTGTTTTGAATTCCTCTCAACACTCGGGAGTATTACATAATATTTAAGCGAAAGAGAGAAATAACAGCACGCGTTAGATATTCTAGAAGATCTAGACGTTCTAACACGAGTTTACAATGAACGAACGAACGAACGAATGAACAAGGCAAGAAGAACTCTCGAAAGACGAAGTGTATTTTGCTTGAGAAAGTAAAAACGATTTCTCGAAAAGCTGTAATAGTTTAAAGCGAACTCAATCGATTCCGGGTAACGCGTTTCTTAGATATCTCGCGACAAATTAATCGAATACCTTCGTTAGATCGTGTGAGAAAAAAAACTAGCTAAGGAATTCCGTGCTCGCAAGCTTGGATTCTTGTTGTAGCCCACGCGTGACAACAAGCAAGCCTTCTTTCTACCAACCAACAGAAAGAGACTCCACCACTCACTTTACTTCTCAAAGAAGGTTCTCATCTCGAGTTTAGATTCTATCGTTAGTAGAATATATAACTTGTTTCTCTTATCCAACTTTCATTTCCTCTCTTTCTTTCTCTTTATAGATCAAAAACAAAACAAGTTTGAAAAGGACGAATCGGTTCACGTGACACATTCAATATGGCGGCCGACGCGCGAAAACAACAAAGATTCGAAATCCCATCGAAGAAAATCAATGAATAAATCGAAATCATTTGTCGAAATCTTGATATGGAAAATTAAATTACCAATTTTGTAGGTAAAAAAGAAAACACAGATATGGAAACAAAAATTATTATTGATAGAAGAAGAAGGAGGAGGAGGAGGAGGAGGAGGAAAGAAGGAAAAGTTTGGAAAAAAGATTTTTCATGCGAAGATGAGACAACTGCGACACGATATCCTAGTCGTCGTTTAAGAACGGAGGTGTCTCTCTCGTGGCGTTGCATGAAAATAGCCGAGTGTACTTGGAATATCACGCGGCCTACGCGGTAAGCATGCTAAAAGGCGTTCGTCGGGTCGCATCGGCTTAAGAAAGAGCGAGCGAGTGAGTAAGTGAGAAAGAGAAAAAAGAAAAAAAAAAAAGAGAGAGAGAGAGAGAGATTGTACGGTGAAGAGAAGAAAGAGGAGGAGAAGAAGGATGACGATGAGGAGGAGGCTGAAGAGAAAAGGGAGGAGAGTCTTTCTCGGTGCTTCGTGTTCGGGAGAAGGAAGAGGAAGAGGAGGTAGAGGTGGTGGAGGTGGAGGTTGAGAAGGAGGAGGGCTCGTGGTTCACCTGTCGTCATGGCAACGCTGCTTCGCCGCTCACTTGTTACTCCATCGGAATGGCTCGGCCCTCGGTCGGTCGGTCCTCTCTTCGTTCGCAGCATCCGTAGAGGATTACGACGAACGCGAGTTACGATCATCAGTCGTAAGAGAGGCGAACTCTTCTATCGTTTATCGCAAATAGGAAGAAGAAGTTACTACTAAAGAGAGGAGGGAGGAGGTGAATAGAGAGAGAGAAAAGAAGGGGTTATAGGAAATAGACATAGGTAGTAGTAGTAATAATAGTAGTAGTAGTATTTCCGCAGGTTTACACACATATATCAGGGAGAGGAATACAAAAAGAAAATAATAACAAATGAATAAATGTAAAGTAAAATAAGAAAAAGAATAATAAGAAGAAGAAGAAGGGTTATTCTATATCTTACTAGCTCTCGCTAAGCTCGTTGACTTTCGTGCACGCTCGTGCTACACACGCTTGCATTTTTCTTTTGCTTTATGTTTTGCTTTCCTTTGAGTCTCGGTGGGTCACGTTGAAGTGAGGAGAGCGCGCGAAGACTCCCGGATATACGCGGAGGACGGGAACACGATTTTATTCGAGTCGCGGCCTCCTAACTGGAAGAGGACTGAAGAGGGGTTCAAGAAGAAGAAGAAGAAGAAGAAGAAAAAGGAGACAACGTCGAAGACGACGCTGACGACGCCGAAGACGACGACGACAGCAGCAAACGGCGCTCTTTTCTTCGCTCCTCTTCTCTTCTCTTATTTTTTCTTTTCTTTTCTTTTCTTCTGTTGGTCGCTCTACTATACTCTCTCTCGACGCGCACTCGAGCAGAAGTCACTCTTTCTATTTTAAGCGACGTGCACTCGGACCCTCGCCGTTTCAACGCAAGCGACCGCGCATTCTCGATTTTCTACGTGTTGAGGAGAGAGACACGATGGACGAACAAGTTCTCTCTCACTCTTTCCCTTTTTATATCTTTTTCTCTTTGGAACTCTTGACACATTCACACACACACACACGCGTACACATGTAGTACGCTAAAGATTGATCTCTCTCTCTCTCTATCTCTTTTATCCCCTGTTTTTATATATATAATATATAAAAAAGTATGTATGTACTTACTATGTCTCCCTTCCTTCTCGTTATCCACTTACGAGCGCGTCGATCTGTTTGCTATGCAAATCCCGTCCGACCGGCGCTGACGTAGACGGCGGCAACACCAACGCAGAAACGGGTCCGTCGACGATATCTCCTACTAACACACTTAACCGCTGCGCGGTTAGTCATTGCCCGCGGACGCGCACACGTAGAAAATGTAATCGGACGACGACGATGATGACGACGACAACGACAAGGTGGTGGAGGAGGATGAAGAGGGGAAGGTAGAAGAGTAGGGGGTGGGGTGAGGAGGGATGAGGATCAACGGCGTCGCGCGGGGTATGCTGCAACACTTTCGAGGGAATCTCCTTCTTCTATCTTTCTTTCTCTTTTACTCCCTCTTTCTCTCTCGTAGCACGTTGCGTTATCACAGAACTATCTATCTCTCTTTCTCTCTCTCTCTCTCTTTCTTTTTTAGCGTTGACACACGGACACACACTGCGTGTTGCTGACAACTCTTGATGCCACCAGCGCTCACCACACCACTACTACTTCACCAACTCTGCTTTTATAACTGAACTGAACTACTACTATTAGTACTACCACTCTACTATCGTACTACTACTACTACTACTACTATACTACTAACAGAGAGCAGCAGCAGCAGAAGAACGACGTCGTCGACGACACAAGCGCAACACAGAAGCAGCACGAGTGGCAGTGTAAAGCCAGCAGCAGCAGCAGGGAGAGACGTCGTCGTCGTAGCGGCTGCTCGAAAATTCTCTTTCTTTCTCTCTCTCTCTCTCTCTCTCTCTCTATCTCTCTTACTCACTCACTCTCTTTCTCTTTAAGAGTTGCTACTGGTATTGGTGCTACTGCTTGACGTCATCGGCGCCTAATCGCGAGACGTACTTGCCACACACACCGTACGTACGTACCCGTCTAGTATGCAAACCGTCTGTGACCGTTCCTTCTTTCTTCTACTTCTTTTTATTATGTTTCCCGTATTCTATTTATCTCTTTTTCCAGGTAGAGAGAGTGGATGACGATCAGACGTCACGACGATGCTGCGTCCTCTTCGCTCGCGCACTCCAGTCTAAGGAGATAACCATCCTTCTCCTCCTTTCGTATAATAATGATGATGATGATGATGTTGATGATGATGATGATGATAATGATGATAACGATGACGACGATTTAAATGATGACGATAATGATAATGATGACGACAACAACGATGTCCACCTCCTCCTCCTGGATCGCGCCGTCTCCTCACGTGTTGTTTCTCCACCTCCAGCTTCTCTTATTTCCACACCACCTCCCACTCTCGTCCTCGCGCGAGACGTTCGACGTCCGTCGTCGTACGTACCTACTAGATTCATCGATCGAACCACCACGATGATCTTTTCATCGATTCCTTTTTCTCCTCTTTACTTCGTTTCTTTTTTTTTGTTTTTGTTTTTGTAATTTTCCGTTACAGAAGATCACCAAGGAGAAAAATAAAGAGAAGTATACAAGGATGATGGAATTGACAACAACAAAAATTCAACTTTATGGTCCTTAATTTCTCTTTCTATGTATTTTTCTTCTCTTTATCATATATATCTGTATACATATACATAACCACACATACACACACACACACATATATACACTTCTATATATATATATATATGTATATATCAATTTCGATCTATCTTTTTGTTGAAGAGAAGACGCAAGAACGACCAGTCGATCCGCGCGCTTCCGCCGGCCCGCTTCCACTGACTGAGCAGCTACGAAAACCACCGAGCGAGCCGTTCACGCGTACCGGTTTTCTCGCTTCGAGCGTCGACGACCGCCGAGAGAACGAAGGAACGAAGGAACGAGCGAACTAACTAACGAACGAACGAACGAACAAACGAATGAGAACGTACGAGAACGTACGAATGGTACCCCAACTCTCTTTCTCTCTCTCTCCCTCTCTCTTTCTCTCTTTTCTCACACTTTATGTATACGTTTATTAAAAGTCAACTCGTCGTTGATCGTAGCCGTCCTCGTCGTTGTCGTCGTCGTCGTTGTCGTCGTCGTTATTATTATTATCATCGTCACAGAAACGACATAGTTCAACGGCGACACAAGATAGTCATAGTCATCATCGTCGTAGTCGTCGTTGCCGTAGTTGTCGTCGTCATCATCGTCTTCGACGACTAACAAAGTCGTCTCCAATAGGAGAACTACGAAACGGCACGCGCGCCTACTGCTGCTACTGCTGCTGCTGCTCCTCCTGCTGCTAAACAACTCCTCACGGCGTTGTTATTGTTGCGTAACTGGCGGCTTCTCGTGTACGTGGACGTTGTGTGTATATGTATGTATATATGGATGTGTGTGTGTGTGTGTATGTAGGAGCCTGCTGGCTCTCTGAGAGGTCGCGAGCGACAGGAATCGTGGGTGAGCCAGTGGGCGATCGACGACCATACATATGAAGAAGGGGGTTATTTTACCGAGTGCTCCTCCCCCTACTACATTCGCAAAGAGAATGACAAACAGAGAGAAAGAGAGAGAGAGAGAATGACACACACACACACATACGCACGCACCACGCACAGTACAACACACACATATACAAAACATAAACACACTAAAGAGAGAGAGAGTGCGCGAGCAGTGCGCCGTCTGGCGTGGCTGCCGACAGTCTACTGCTTTCTGAGAAACACGAGGTGATTCCGTGTATCGAGCGCACTCCCCTCCCCTAGCCCCTTTCACGCTCATTCCATCCCTCCCACCCTTTGTCCTCCCTTCCCTACCGAATAAGATCCACGTGAAAGAGTGAGAGAGAGAAAGATATATCACAAAACACGGATAGATGAAACCCTCGTTTCCTCAGGGACGACGAGCTCTTACTACTACTACTACCACTACTACTACTATACTCTCCTTACGATTATTGTCTTTCACTCTCTTCTTTCTCCTCTCTTTCTCTCTCATTTCTTCTTTGAAATTCATTTTATGGTTTTTAATCGCCGGGATCGACTAGGTTCTTTTTTATTTTGCTTTTAAGCATATATGGTACAACACACACACACACAACACAACACGTTCGAGGTTCCTAATCGCGTGGTGGTAGCTTTGCGCACCCTTATTTATTTCTTTAGTCCTTACTTCCTTCCTTCCTTCCTTCCTGAGGAAGAAGAAAAACAAGGAGGGATCATCGCGACGTAATAATCGGAGACACCCTAGGGCTATTTTGAGCGAGAATCCTCGCGATTAACGATCGAGAGATCGCTTTGTGTTAAGCGGCGCTCTATTTTTATACGAGTTCCAGCTATTTTTGGGCTGCAAATTTGAAGCCAGAGGAAGGCAATCGTAATCTGCTTTATTTATCCTGGGTCCCGTAAAAGCCAAGGACAAACTGTCTTAGTTTCTCGTCTATTGGCGTTAGTAATATCGGAATCCTCTAAACGTTACTTTTGTCTTACTTCAAATTTTCTTTATATAATCGTTAACGATCAAATTTGTTTTATAAATTAGATAAATAAAATGATATCGGAATCGTAATAAATCGGCCGATGATCGTTCACGATATCCGACCGATAAATATCGAAAGAGGACACAAGCAACAAACAAGCAAGCAAGTATGCATGCATGCATCTTCTTCTTCTTCTTCTTCTTCTTTGCAACTCAGGATCGTTCGTTTTCCTTAGAAGAAACTTTCTCTTCTTACTATTTCTTTTTCGATCTTTTTCATTCCTCGTCGTCTAACTTTTACTTATTTTACAAGAGTGTTAATCGTTAATAGTTTATCTATATTTAAATTTGACGTGAGTTTAAAAGAGAAACGAAACGAAACGAAGAGATCTTTAACTGCGTTGTCTCTTATTTTGTTACTTGGCTGGCTTGCAATAACGAGTCATTACCTACTTATGAATGGGTGTGTACTATAAGCGCCGAGTAAATTAACGTAATTTCGTTGTAAAACGCTATATAACAGAATAATAAGACGCGAGAGCACGAGAATTATTTCCAAAGAATTAATAGATCGTTACTTGGAAAATTATGTTAGCTGCTACATAGTTTCATTTCTATCGTTTGCTCGCTCGTTCATTCGGTTTCCTTTCTTTCTTTCTTGCTTGTTTGTTCCATATAAAATGCATACACACACATACACCATTATCCATATATACGTCTCGCGTTTCTTTCATTATAATATTATGCCAGTAGTATATAAACGAAGAATACAGGAAGAAATTATTCAAATTCATCGGAAAGATGAGAAGAATATATTTCAAACTACAATAACCAATGAGTATTTTTATATATATTTTCATTCATTTTTAAATCATCCTTGTAACAAATCGACAGTTTTGAATAGATAAAAGAAGGCGCCTTCTAGATACTACCAACCATTAACGACCATACCTGAATTCGAGAATAGCGAATATGCTAGTAGTGTGTTGTATTCGTTGAATTCCAATTTCAATCTTTCTCGTTCCACATACCCAAACGTTTTCTTTCAACTTCTCTAATCTTTGTACTTCTATTTATCTCTCTCTCTCTCTCTCTCTCTATCTAGTTTTCCTTATTTCTCTTTGAATGAGAACGGTCTTTTCTTCGTATTCTACTACGGGACAGGAGTAGGTAGGGACACTTGAATGGGATCACGATTGTAGAGAAACATCTTGAACTGGCTCCTTGGCCTGGAGAAAGAGAGAGAGAGAGAGAGAGAAAGAGAAGTCATTGGCGAAGTAAGGAGCACATTGTTGTCTCTTCGATAATAAGAAATTCCTTTAAAGACTACGCGGAGAAAGAGAAATAGAAATATAGAAAGAGAGAGAGAGAGAGAGAGAGAGAGGAATAGAAAGAGAAGTGTTCGACTTGAAAAATGATACGAGTATATCGAAGTCGTCCAATTGCATCCAAGTTACAATCCAGTATGATGGTATCCATCTTATGTAGGAAAAACTTGCAATACCGTGGTCTCTCGGAGACTATCGACGATATTCCCTCGGCGACTTCCGGTATCCACCGAGTAGAGGAGTAAAGTAGAAACGTGCCGAGGCTAAGCTTCGAAAGAGAGAAAAACAATGATAGATAAAAGTACTCGAGTGTTATATACATATATGCTTTGTATATGATGTATGTATAATACAACACACATACATATACACATGAGAGAAAACTTGTATAGGTTTCTCGTATTGCTCGCACGGCTGCTGCCATGTGACGACGTGCTCATCCAAGTGTGTAAGTATATATATTCTTTCTCACACACTATATCACATGTTTGTGTGTGTCTGGCTTCGTTCGTTCGTTCCTTGGTTGGTTGGTTGGTTGGTTGGTTGGTTCAAGTTGGCCTGCAAGCGAGAGAAAGCATATGATAGATAGATAGAGATAGTAAGAGAGAGAGAGAAAGAGAGAAAAGAAGAGACGGGAAACGAAAGGTGCTGTTGGCAACGGTAGTGGGGGTCTTTCTTGGAATGTCCCGCTGTCTCGGGCGAACGACGGTCCGGCTCCTCCGGAACTCCAACGTGCTGCTGGAACAGCCATCGGGTGGGTTTCTTTAGGGTCGACCGGTTAGCTTGTCTCTCTCTTTTTCTCTTTCTTTCTTTTTCTCTCTGAAACCCCACCTTCGAATCGACGGTCTGCCTCATGCCTTCGTTCCGAGAGAGAACAACCTCTACACGGCAAACTTCGTTTACCCACTAGGCACAGCCTTACCTGTTTCCTTTGAAGTGGCGGTCAGGGGGAAGATGGTGGCTGGGGGGATAGGGTGGGGGGGGGTAGTTTGGTCGAATAGCAAGACAGCAGCCAGCCAAAGCAGCACACGCAGATCTTTCTTTCTTTCTTTCATTCTTTCTTTCTTTCTCATCGTTTGCTTCGTCACGATTTACGTTCCCTCTCTTCGAATCCGTTCTCTGACATCCTCGTACTACCATATATCCCCCTTCCATCCCCCCCGCCCCCATAGAACTCGAACTGACTCAACGAAGGGAATTTCCCTGCACGTTTTTTTCAACCTTTTCTTTCATTTTTTTCCTTAAGACCCTCTTCCCCTCGTACCCCCTCGGTTCTTTTCAATTGTTTACATTTAGGATAATTCTCTGAAAAAGAAGAAGAAGAAGAAGAAGAAAAAAAAGAATATAACGCCATCCCCTTTAATAAAGCAACCTTTAATCGTAACTGACGAAGCTCGGGTTGATGTTCGATGTTTACAAAAAAAAAAAAAAAAAAAAAAAAAAAAAAAAACAGAAAAAAAAAACAGAATAAAAAAGAACAATTCGTTTTATTTACGGTAATCAAATCGAATCGGCAAATCAAAGAATGCAATAAGTTCGCGTTTGAAAAAGAAAATAATAATAATAATCCTCCCTAATGAGGGCTGCTAATGGTGGGTGTGCTAGTTGTGTGGTTGTCGTCGTAAAACTATCGAATCTACGAGAATATCTCTTTCTCTCGATGATTTTGGAATTGGAAATAAAACGTGCACTCTCGACTAGTAGTAGTAGTAGTAGTAGTAATAGTAGTAGTGCATTCGATTAATACAGCCCTGTCCCGCCACCCTGACGATCAACGAGGCCTTCCGCCTGTTTTCCCCCCCGCCACCCCTCGCCCCTCAGCTCACACG